TATGGAGAACTTCACAGCTGCCGAACTTTTGACACCGTAAGCTTGATCCAGTATTCTGCATTTAGTAGTTATCTTCTGAAAATGCAGATATCCAACGCTCGAAGAACAGCGTAGAAATGAGCAGTTAACAGAAGCTGATCGAGACGTCATTCTGGCCGAAAGACTCACGGTTGATGTTGACAATGAGGTAAGAACTGCTGTTTCCATTACCTGATATTATCGCCACTGTCAAAAAGTATGTTTCGAATGGAATGGCAACGTACATGTCCAAAATGCCAAATGCGCGTTGCAGCTCAAAAATGCATTGCGAAATTAGCATATGCTCATACTCCATAAGGATTGGCCAACGAGATAGACCGATCCTTTTACGCTCACGAGCGCACTTCAGCACAACCTGAAGAAAGCCAGCCAAATTTCGGAGAAAAAAGCGTGGCAAGACTGGTAGACCCACATTGCGCCAAATCAGTACTTAACTTCGACACAATGCAACTACCATTCATGCTCGACGGATCCTTATGAAATATGGAGATATCCTTAAAAGCAGTGCCTGTGTAGAATCAAGGACTTTGAATTCTTATCATATAACAGCTGAATCTCTGATTAAGCTATTATTCAAGTAGGTGAACAATTTATCGTGATACGCGAGGGCCTCGCTCTGGACGTTAAGGTTAGCCCGCCCTCTTGGGTCACTCCGTCCACTCAGTATTTCCTGCTCAGCACCGCTCGTATTTGGGGTCTTTAAAGCAGTGCTCTTAAGCGATAAAAGCATGCGATCGTTTTGATCGAAAATTCAAAATTGCCACTCTTCCATTCGTCTCTTCAACGAGTGCCAGATCTCTGCTTGACAATTTCGCGGTAGTTGGAAATACTAAGTATGTTCAGCACACTAAAATGGTAAGGTGGAAAGAACAGAGTCAACTTGCTCCGGCACTGCCTTTGACCCGCGTGCTTGTACGAAGCCTTAGTGCGCAGAAATACGCAACGGTTCCCAATTGTCACAATTATATCAGGTTAGTTCTAGATGGCTACTGCTATCCAGAAATGTTACAACCAATATT